GAGAGAGAGAGAGAGAGAGAGAGAGTGATACAAACATGCACAGCACAAAAGGTAAAGGGCAGGAAAGTAGCTGCTGACTTTAAAAATGTCTAATGGGAGCTTTATTGCCGTAGTATAAGAAACTGACATGCCATACAGAGAGTGGATGTGGATCAATAGCAGGATTGGAGGATTCCCAAGAATCCTGTTCTTTCGGGGATTCAGAGGGTTGTTATAATCTCATTTTAAGCTGCTTTTATTCAGAGATTTGAAAGACTCCCTTTTTTTGGGACAACTGCCAGAATCTCCTAGCCATCATAGCCCCTGGTCACACTGGCAAAGGATTCTGATAAGCAGTTTTAAAAAGGAAGCCCTTTTGAGCTCTGCTTTTATTTCAGCAGACTTTGTGTCAGTGGAACATTATGGAAACCACAGTTCCTTAAATGTGGGTAGAGGGCATGGATCCATGTAAAACCTTGAATGTGGAATAGAAGACCTCACGTGCAATCCTTGAAGTCAGGTAGCAGATGATGGGGAGGACCCTTGCCAAGCTGCTGCCAGTCATAGCAAGCAGTATAAGGCTAGGTAGACAAAAATTCAGACTTGGTGTAAGGCAGCCTCCTATGAACTTGAGAAGCTTGGCTACAGCCTGACTGCTTACATGTCTCTTCTTCAAAACCAAGGTGGCTTGCCAGGCAATACAGCACTTACAATGGCTTGATGCTTTAAAAATTAACAGGTTTTAGTTAGCAAAAGCATTTGTGGACTTCAGATCACTTTATATTTGGATTGAATCAGGTGAAGCAGGCTACAGTCCATGAAAGCTCATGCCAATTAAACTTCTTAGTCTCTAAAATATCATGCATCTCTTTCTTCTCTTTGATGCATGACTATGTAGACCCTGAACTAATTTGTCTGCTATCCCCTGGAAATTCTTCGGTAGGGAACATCAGTGCAAAGCTATCTCAATTTTTTTAATAACTCGTAAGTCACTGACTTCATGTAACATAAGTCTTTTTCCTTCTTTGTGATAAGGAAAGCATGTTGGACCAATAGCAACTAAGGGAAAGTATAGCAAAAGGCAGAATTTACTATAATACATTACATAGCTACTTGTGTGCCAGACACTTGCTACTCATGCCAAAACAATCCCAAAATGCTGTTGCTGCTGTTGCTTCTCCTTTGCTCATTCAATTGATAAGTCACAGTTCATTTGTATTAGACATGGGTCATTATTGTCAGCAGAACTGAGCAACTAGCAGTAATAAAAATCAAGCGTTTATTATTCCACTGTATCTATATAGCAGTCCATTTCAATTATTTTGACAGGTGTATTAAATCTCACAGCCAGTGAGAACAGAGTGATGGATTAGGGCTCAGGAGACTTGTATTTGAATCTCTGCTTGGCCAAAGAAGCTCACTTTGGGGGGTTTGGGTGGTAGAACCACTCCTTAAATACAGTGGGGTCTCTACTTAAGAACGTCCCTACTTAAGAACAATCCAACTTAAGAACAGCTCCATTAGAGTGATGGATTAGGGCTCAGGAGACTTGTATTTGAATCTCTGCTTGGCCAAAGAAGCTCACTTTGGGGGGTTTGGGTGGTAGAACCACTCCTTAAATACAGTGGGGTCTCTACTTAAGAACGTCCCTACTTAAGAACAATCCAACTTAAGAACAGCTCCATTTGCTAAATTTTGCTTCTACTTGAGAACAGAAATCCAAGATAAGAACAGGAAAAAAAACCTTTCCTGCTCTTTTTTTTAACCTTAGGTCATCTTAGGTTAAAAAAAAATTCTCCCCATAGTGGTAGAGTACGTATTAACCAGCTTTGGTTAATGTATGAACGCACCTCTACATAACAAAAAAACAGCCAGAACGGATTAATTGGTTTTCAGTCCATTCCTATGGGAAATTTTGCTTCAACTTAAGAACATTTCAACTTAAGAACACCATTCCAAAACGGATTAAGTTCTTAAGTAGAGGTTCCACTGTAGTTTCTATGGACGGAAAAGAGCAGATACGGATTAAATGGTTTTCAATGCATTCCTATGGGAAATGCAGATTCAACATAAGAACTTTTCAACTTGAGAACCACCTTCCAATACGGATTAAGTTCTTAAGTAGAGACCCCACTGTATCTCACTTACCTTGAAATCTCTAGTAGAGCCTCTCTGACTCAGTTTCAACTTGATTGTACATAGCACACACATTCATCTCACAACCTAGCTGGAACAACAAGAAGATTGGACAGCCATGTAGGTCTCAGTGTTCTAGTTCCTCTTCATAAGAAAAAAAAAAATGAGGTTCCGCTGATGAGATAGGATGAAAACAATTACATCTAGAAAAAATGGAAAACATAATTCCAGTCTTGCTGTTCCACTGATGGAGCAGGAGATAACAGACAAGGCTTCATAGTACCATGTCACCACAAACACACCCTGTTTGTGGTACCATGGTACAGATACATTTCTGTATCGGCCTTTAAGAAATTGAAATGACATTCTGGAAGTATTAGAAAAGACTTCTTAAGGTTACTGGAACATTCTCCTCTGTGTTCATAATTGTAGAGATGCTAAAGTTTGAAATGTTATTATTCAGGGGAATGTAAAAAAATGCAATCCTGAAAATGTATGTTATGATTTAAAAATGAGGTTTGAACACCTGTGTGCTAAAAGTCACTGCAAGTCAAAATATAAACAAAGGTTACGAATTTGATAAAAGTTACAGAAAAGCTGAAATGTAGGCCGAAAGCTTACAACTGAAATGTGTTTTTCTAACTTACGTTCTAACTACAACTTAAGGTTTGCTTTTATAATATTTTTGCTTTTTTACTATAATAAAAGGTTTGCTTTTATAATATACAGTAATTTAAAAAATTCTGTTTGCAACTTTCCATAGTTTCGAACTTTCTTGATGTTAATCAGTTTTTCCAAAGCTACAAGAATAAATTGCTGTTTAAGCATTTGGGCCTCCAGTTTTTCATAGCTGTAACACTGTTCTTTGTATAATTGAAGTAATTGCCTGTAACAAAAGTTGCATGTTTTCAGCAACTTTGAAGTATTTTTATGCTTATGAAACATAAAAGCAATGTGGATAAATAAAACCTGTAGAAATAGTCAGGCTGATGTTTCCTGGAATTTTTCAAACAACGAAAATACTTACACCTCTATAAGAATAATAGTAATTGTGTGCTGTCAAGTCAATTCTGATTTATGGTGACGCTTTCCAGGATTTTCTAGGTAGAGGGTACTCAGAAGTGGTTTATATTTCCTTCTCTTGTGGGCATCCTGGGCTGTACATGTTACCCAAAGCCACATGGACTGGCTCTTCTGGGATGCCCAGTGGGAGATTGAACTCCCAACCTCTGGTTCCACAGCTAGATGTCTAACTCTCTGAGCTGTCCGGCCAGCCTTGATACCCAGATGAATTTTGATATGATTAGAAGTGGTTATCTGGTAGCATAATGGAATTAACTCTTTCAGAGATAAGTGCCAGCTATGATGAACACAGGCTTCTGATTTTTCCGAGATGCCTGTAAAGATCTTTAGAAATTTTAAGAAGGTGTTCTAGCATCATACGTTCTGGCCTGACAGAGAAAAGGGGAAACCATGTGGCATGTTTCACTTTCATGTTTCACCACCTCATTTTAACCAGACAGGCAAGGGAAAGCTTGCTAAAGCATTTACCCACATGGCCAAAGGAAAGCATTGAATTTCAGTCTTCAGATAAATGGGAGTTAACTGTCTACAGAGAAATGACTGATGAATAAATAAACAGATATTTTAGGGGCATTAATGGTAGAATGATACTATACCCATTTCTCACACACTAGGACAGGGGTGGAAAGGTTTTGGACTAGAACTCAGAGGCCTTCATCATTAGCAGTACAGGCTTAGGGCTTCTGGCATTGAAATCCAAACATTTGGTGTGTCAGAAGTTTAGCAGCCCTTCACACGTGACTGTCATGAAGTGATTTTCCTGGAACGGATTATCGTTGTTAAGTGAGGCACCACTGTATTTGAAAAACGTACCCTTTCAACTTAAAAATGCATGCTGTTTTCGTGTTTTTTACTTTCTACCTTATTTCCTTTTTTAAAAGAAAACTTTTGTTTAAAACTAAGCCTGCTTCATCTTCCAGTGTGAATGGTCATGATTTGTAGTTTCTCTGAGACTGTAATAGCTAGAATGTTTGACATCTGAAATTAATTGCCGAGGGGAAATGACCAATCATCCCTTCTGTGTTTTTATAGGGCCAGCAGTATCTCTATGCTGGATCTAATGTAGGAGTTGTCCAGTCTCCTGTTGCATTTTGTGACAAGCACCGGACCTGTGTGGACTGTGTTCTGGCAAGAGATCCATACTGTGCTTGGAATCCCCATCTGTCTCTTTGTGTGGATATCTTTAAAGAAAGTGAGACTCAACAGTAAGTGCCCTTTGATCTGTCTGTGTGGTCTCTTGTGAAATAAGTTCCAAGAGCACAACTAGCATTAAAAAGTTGATTGAGGGTACAGAATGCAACTTCACAACAATCTCAGGTTTTAGATTCCTTTTTGAAGTTATGTCAGAGTAAGTGACGCTGAAGGTTCTTAGAGGGAGACCGGCTTACTGCCCTCATGCTGCTGCTTTACTGCTACAGTTTAGAAGCAAATCACATTGCCAGATTTCAGAGCAAACTGTAAACAGCAAATGAAACAGCCAGATATTGGTGGTAAATCCCATGTGGCTTTAATCTGAGCATTTGTGCTTATGTTAAAGTTTTTCACAGTGTGCTGCCAAATGTTGGCTTGCATAGAGGGGAGGGGGCTTGGGAGTTGCCCACCTTTTTGAAGATGTAACAGCTACCAAAATATGCCCTTCATGTATGAGCAATCTCTGATAAATCTCAGTGGGGGAACAGGGGTGAAGAAGATTTCCAGAAGTTTTGTTGCTTGGAAGGGGCTTATAGAGTCCAGCCCCCTTCTCAATGCAAGAATCCAAATCAATGTATATCTGAAAGATGGTTGTCTAATTTTCTCTCAATGCGTCCAGTGCTGCAGCAGTAACTACCTCCAGAGGTAATTGGTTCCATTGTTGTAGTGCTCTAACAGTTAAGAATTTTTCCTGATATTCAGCCTAAATCTGGCTTCTTGTAGCTTGAGCCCATTTTTGTGTGTTCTGCACTCTGGGATGATCAAGAATATATCCTGCTCCTCTTCTGTATGACAGCCTTTCAAGTATTTGAAAACTTCTACCATATCTCCCCTCAGTCTTCTTTTCTCAAGGCTAAACATGCCCAATTCTTCCAGTCTTTCCTCATAGGGCTTGGTTTCCAGCACCCTGATCATCCTTGCCCTCCTCTGAACTTGTCCCAGTTTGTTGGCATCCTTCTTAAAGTGTCCAGAACTGGACACAGTACTCAAGATTAGGCCTAACCAGTTCTGAATAGATAGGGACTAGTACCTCACATGATTTGGAAACTATACTTCCGTTAATACGTTCTAAACTAGCATTTTCTTCTTTTGCAGCCACACTGTTGGCTCATTTCAACTTTTCATCTACAACAATTCCAAGATCCTTCTCACTCATAGTATTACTGAGCCAAGTATCCTCCATCTTGTAATTGTGCAATTGGTTCCCCACCCCCAGTTGTAACACTTATCCCTGTTAAATTCCATTCTGTTATTTTCAGCCCACTGCTCAAGCCTATTAAGATCTTTTTGAATTTTGTTTCTGTCTTCTTGGGTATCAGCTATTCCACCCAATTTTGTCATCCGCAAATTTGATGAGCAGCCGCACCATTGCCAATGGCTTCTGGGCGTCCACAAATTTGATAAGCAATCCCTTCACTCCTTCATCCAAGTCATTAGTGAAAATGTTGATGAGCATCAGGCCGAGCACCAGGCCTAGGACTGAGCTGTCGTGGTACCCCACTTGTTATCTCCTTCTAATTTGAGAAAGACCCCACTTGTTATCTCCTTCTAATTTGAGAAGGAACCATCGATAAGCATTCTTTGAGTATGATTCTGTAACCAACTGTGTATCCACCTGACAGTTGTTGTATCCAGCCAACACTTAGTTAGTTTACTAATCAGAATATCATGGAGCACTTTATCAAAGGATTTGCTGAAGTCTTCAGCATTCCCATTCTCTACCAGCGAGGTTACCCAATAAAAAATGATTTGTTCTTGACAAATCTTTATTGGCTTCTAAATATTACTGCATTGTTTTCAAGGTGCTTGCAGACTAACTGCTTTATAATCTGCTCCAAAATTTTCAGTGGTATTGATGTCAAGGCTGAGTGCTCTGCAGTTCCCAGATTCCTCCTTTTTGCCCTTATTGAAGATAGGAACAATGTTAGCCCATTTCCAATCATCTGGCACTTTATGATTGAAGAAAATACGGAACAGTGATTCAGAGAGTTCTTCGGCCAGTTCCATGAATAGTTTTGGACGCAGTTAATCTGGCCCTGGGGATTTGAACCCATTCAAAAGAATAAGGTATTCCTTGACTGTTTGTTTTTCAATCTCAAAGTGCAATTCTCTCCCCTCCATTTCTATTTCACGTTTACCTGGAGGGTCATAGACTGTCTTTTGGAAAAAGACCAAGCTAAAATAGCTCGGTGAAAATATCAACCCAGTGTGCGGCGGTAATGAAGAACTGAAGAAGACCAATTCATTAAAAAGGGGATTGAAAATAAAACAGCGAACATTCTAATGCTATTGTACAAAACACTGGTAAGGCTGCACCTGGAGTATTGAGTACAGTTCTGGTCGCCACACTTCAAAAAAGACATCATGGAACTGGAAAAGGTGCAGAAGAGAGCAACTAAAATGATGACTGGGCTGGGACACCTCCCTTATGAGAAAAGGCTGCAGCGTTTGGGGCTCTTTAGTCTAGAGAAAGGGCCTGAGGGGGGACATGATTGATTGAGACATATAAAATTGTGCAGAGAATGGATAAAGTGGATAGAGGGAAGCTCTTTTCCATCTCATGCAATACTAGAACCAGGGGACGTCCACTCAAATTGTGTGTTGGGAGATTGAGAACAGACAAAAGAAAATATTTTTTCTTACCCAAGCATGTTGTTAGTCTATGGAAGTCTTTGCCATAGGGTGTGGTGATCTGGCCTAGATGCCTTTAAAAGGGGATTGGACAGATTCCTGAAGGAAAAGTCCATTGCAGGTTACAAGCCATGATGGGGATGTATAATCTCCAGGCTTAAAAGGAAGGTACCTCCAAATGCCAGATGCAGGGGAGGGGTGTCAGGAGACAGCTATCTAGTTGTCTTGTGTGCTCCCAGAGGTATCTGGTGGGGCCACCATGAGACACAGGAAGCTGGACTAGATGGGTCCTTAGCCTGATCCAGCAGGGCTCTTCTTATGTTCTTAAAGGAATTGAGCAGTTCTGCCTTTCTGGAAGTTCCATATTTGTATAAATTATATTTTTGCAATGCAGATACTGCAAGGGATACTGTCTTCATAATTACTGTTTGCCATATCTTTTGTATGGCTTTTCTCTGTTTATTTCATAATTTGTATCCTGCCTGCTTGCCAAAGCAGCTCTAGCTGATGTTGATAAAAATGTTCTAGAGAAAAAGGATACACACACAAGCCAAGATGATTAAAAAGAAAAATCCCTCACCCTTGGATGATGGACAGCCATTTGTGCCTGGCACTGGGAAGCAGAAATTAGGAGGAACTGTCTAAAATGGCACCGCTCCAGACCATATTACCCACTGTTTGCTGTCTCTTAGTCAAGCTAGTGAATGTTGTTTGATTAAGATTGCAGTTGCCAGAGTGAGCAAGCACTGTCGCCACCAGTGTCATCTCTCATTTTTCGGCTCTCTTCTCCCCTGGATCCAAACAATCCTGTGAGATGGTCAGGTTGAGAGGCGGTAGCTGGCCCAGTGAGGTTCATAGTGTGGAGAGACAGGAACCTAGATCTCCCAAATGGCAGTTCAGCATGCTAAGTGGTATACCACATTATGAAGATAATTGTGTCCATGGGATGTGGGGCGGGGATACAAGAGAAGACCTTTCTGTTCTCTGTTTTGCCTGACTTACCTAGTTGGTTGTAGGAGTTTGCTGTTTTACTTTACTGTAGACATCGGCTGGCAGTTGGTTGATGGAACTGGGAAGAGTAAGATAAATTTTATTTGCATTGAATCAACCACATCAACAATAAAAGTAAAAATACAAAAAGGTGATGGTAATGCAGTAAAACAAATCGTGCTATTTTGGTAGCGGGGGAAATAAACGATGATGATTAAAAGCCATAATGAGCATTCCAAATATAACTTAAAAACTGACAGTCACTTAGCTGGGAGATAAACAGTATTCAGAAACATTGCAGCTTGTTCAGTAATAATATTTGTTTCATGAAAAAAATAATGAGATCTTGGATCGATCTGGAAACAATTATTCCTTAATGTCTTGAATAAAAATTACAGTGAAAAAGGAGCATGAAATATTGATTCTACCTCTTTAAAAATTAAAAGACAAAAATGTATCCCGAGACAGAAATTTTATAGTCTGCCTGTCCAAATTTTCAGAGGCACAGTTAAACTAAGCCATTGAAATAACATTTCTGTATCAGACAAGAGTTTTGAATAAGGAACACAGCTATCAGGAACAGGCTGTACTTGACCTGGAAACCAGGGAATGCAAGATCCTTTTGGTTTCTGCAAACCCAAATATCTTAATCTTTGTTTGACTTAGTTTATTCCAGGCTGGAAAGTGAAGTGATTTCACACAGATACCAGTGTTGGTTTGCTTCAAGTATTTTATTCATTTCCATGTCGGTATTGTCAACAGTGGTGCTAAGATAGGGACCATAGAACTTAGAGAAGGGGTTTTTGTTTTTTTTTTTAAATTTCACCTTCTGAAATCACCTATCCAGCAAACCCCTGGGGGTTTTAGTCCAAAAGGGTAACTTTTCCAAGCCCTGTTCATCGTGAAGCTCCTTATAGCCCCACTGGAGGCTTCCTGAGGGGCACTGAGAGTTAGAGGAGATATGTCAGACCATCACAGGAAACAATTAGAAGCTGTGAACAGCATGAACGAGTCATGTCATTGCCTGACCTTTGTCTTGGGGTAATTTTTCTTCTGAGTATATCCATCAGGCGGGTGATCTCCGTTTCCTATATTAACAAGCAGGATAACAGAAGCTCAACACCTCCCCCTTCTACTTCCTGTAAAATTCACTGCCCCATAAAGAGGTGTGGGCTGTTCTCCCCTCCACTTCCTTCCGCAATATTGTGTTTAGTTACCTTAAAAACAAACAGAACCACAAACTGCAGTAAGAAAAAAAGCGATGTTCAGCCTTAAAAACAAACAGAACCACAAACTGCAATAAGAAAAAAAATGATGTTAAGATGTTCATATTTAAAGGTAAAGGCTATCTTTAGTTTGCTGTGGAGAAAATACAAATTTGGGCTGTTTTGCCACTATCATCCTCGTTAATTGGTTGCAAATCACTGTGAGGTGAACATTTTGCCCGTTAGAACTTTTTGGTTACTTTTGCTGAGTTTTCCAAAATTGCCATGCAAGCTGCTTTTTAACCTCAAGTGTTTGGTTGCTGACATGAAGGTTCCATCTGTCATGCTCTACAGCATTGCCTTTCAGCAAAGAAAAAGAGGGAGAGAGAAAGAGAAGATCCATGCCCTCTGAATGTGTGTGCAACTACCTTTTCTGACAAGTTCCGTCATTTCCCAGCAGATCTTCACTTAGAACTAAAAGGGGAGATTTGTTACATGGAGGGCTGGTTATGTGAGGTGTGACAAGTATATTGAATCCCTTATTGTGCTTCTTGTTTTTAGGGACTGGATTCAGAATATAGGTGGAAATGCTTCTTCTTGCACTGGTAAGCTTGTTCTCTGGCGGTTTGAACAATAACACTGTAAATAAGTTCACCATTCAGCATCTGAGTTACTTCACACAGTATGTTCCATTTCTGTTGTATGTTTTTCTTAGAATGGAAAAAAAAATATTTGGTACGTTGTCCACATCTAGTGATACACATAGCAATCCCTTCAAGGAACACACCTTGAGGGCCACTGGGCTGGGCTCACACTTGAGCAGCGTCCAGGTGTGAGATACCTCCGAACAGTGGATACACAGTCATAGCAGTTCAGGAAAGAGCTGCCAGGCACACAAATCATGATGGCCATGCAAAACTGTCCCTGAGCAGAGATGCCTATTCTTACAAAGAGAGAGCTTTATCATCAGCACCACACAGAGCAGCTCCGTCTGCAAGCAGGGTGTTGATGTGAAGCAGCTTATATGTGAACCTAGAGGTTTGTCATGGAAATTTCTATAGCATGGATTCAGCTGGGATGCTGTCACGTAGTTAACAAAAGCTTTTTTAATAGCAGAATTCCTTGGGGAAATGAGAAAATGATCTTCCTTTAGATTTGTGCCACTCTTGCATTGTTACTCAGGTTTCCAAAATCAGTGGTAGTGGATAATGTGATTTAGTCAGCAGAAAATAAAGCAAATTATTTAAGAGATTCTGCATTTTGGAAAGAACAAATATTGTGTACAGTTTCTAGGCATAGTGCATCAAAAAAGTGAAACTAGTGTGTGGATAACAGGAAGGATTTTGGGTCGTAATAGCCTTCCATTTCATTAATATTACTATTGTAATGTATAGATATTTTTCAGTGGAAATGCCAGGTAATTTCTTCTTTAGAGTCCCATACACACCTGGAGTTCTTGTGGGTAAGGTTTCTTTTGTGTGCCATGACTCAGGGGAAGTTTCCTGTAGGGCATGAGGATTCTCTCTGTCAGGACTCCTTGCACATAAGGAACAAAGGACCACTGCCTCACCTGGAAGACCCTTGTCTTCCATTATGCTGGACTCTGTGCAGCCATCTACCTGTATGTTGATGCTGTTGCTGGATTAGGTTGCATATTTAGTAGCGGCCTGTAGTGCCAGCAGTCGTAGCAGCAATCTTAATTCAGGTAGTTCTGATTTTAAAATACTGTACTGTGACATCCTTGCCATACAGTTTCAATTGCAAAAGCAGCATTTCAGAGAAGAGATAATGCAATATGTTTTAGAATGCTCACGATTTGTGGGATCATATATTTTAGGTCTCATTTTTTTTATTCTTCCCCTGCTTTTATGGGGGTTTCTCCTTGTGTGTTTTGATTTTATTAGGCTGAACATGCACACCTATCTTGGTTCCTGTGGTACCTGAGCACACACATAATAATGAAAGCTCAGTGTAGCCCTTTTTCAAGTTTTCATGTTTTTCTTATCCTGAATCCCCTTCTGAATATGGCAAAATAGCCAATGCTGGAGTTAATTTGTACAAGGAAATTACCATTACTTCCTAATCAAGTAGCTTACCCCTCACACTGTAGGTAGCTCCTTGGCACTCATAAATAAGGGTAGCAACCAGTTGATGTCCTTCCACTGGTTCAAAACATCTTATGAGCAAAACAAAGAGAGGTTGGTTTCTGTTGATTTTGCCCTCCTTCTGCAGCCCCTATGCCACCTGTGCAGCAGTAGAGTGGGGGTGAGGATGGTGGGGTTACCTTGTTTTAGTGACAAATGCGTTCAATCAGTGGAAAACTCCAATTGGATACTCCTTTAGTGCACTTTGGTAAGCTAGCTTGGATCTCACTGAGAACAAGTCACTTTTATGCATGGCTAATTTGGTCTTCCCATTGTACCTCCCCCCCCCTCACTCCAAACCCCTCAGCTCTGATCTTATTCACATTTATTTTGCTGTTCCAGATGATGTAAGAGAGCGTTCCCTGCAGCATACATTCAAGCACGGGAGCACTGCAGAGCTGAAATGTTCCCAAAAGTCCAACCTGGCCCAAGTGGTTTGGAAATTCAAGGATGACGTGTTAAAGGTGGAAAGCCCGAAGTACCGTCTTCTGGAGAAAGCACTGCTCATTTTCAATTTGTCGGATGGTGATAGTGGGGTCTATCAGTGCCTGTCTGAAGAGAAAGTGAAGAATCAAAAGTTCTCGCAGGTGTTGATTAAACATGTCTTGGAACTGAAGAAAGTCCACCCCCACACTCCAAGCCCAGCTCAGCCAACCACAAGGACAGAAGGTAATGGAGAAGAACTCAAAGCATCAGTTGTAACTACCCAGGGGTCTGCTGTGTACACGTCGACCACTCCAGTTGTAACTATTGCAACATCCAGGATAGTAACAAACCCCATTTTCCCCAACATTATGAGCACTGTCGCTGGCATTGAACGCTCAGAATTGGTTCCCGAAGTCCCTGAAAAGACTCTCTTTCTAAAGTCAAATGATAATTCGCTTCTGATGTCTCTTTTCCTGTTCTTTTTTGTTCTCTTCCTGTGTCTTGTTGCTTACAACTGCTACAAAGGGTATTTACCAGACCAGTGTCTCAAGTTCCGCTCTGCTATGTCACTTGGGAAGAAGAAACCCAAGGCTGACTTTTCTGATTGTGAGCAAAGTGTAAAGGAGACCCTGGTTGAACCAGGCAGTCTCATGACACAAAGTGGTGAACATCCAAAACCAGCCCATGACACAGGATATGAGACTGAAGCAGACTATGGGAATGGCCATGTTCAACATGATGAGGAACATTCACAGTCCTATAAAGAAGTCAAGGATAAACCTTTTGACGTTAAGTGTGAATTGAAATTTGCTGATTCAGATGCAGAGGGTGATTAGAGGAGAATGTCCTCAATTTCCATAACACAAGTACCATTGAACTGAATTGTACACACATTTTTAATGTGATAACTGGGTCAGAAAGGGCTACATGTTGTTAGTTTTTATAAATGGCAACATGGTTATTTTGCACCAGGACAAAGCAGAGAATAGTCTTGCATTTTCTCAGAACCACTCTGTTACACATTTGTTTTTTGTGTGTTTGTTCTATTGTCATTTTAAATGGCCAGTTCTGGTTCCACATTGTGAATTTCAGCATCTCCTGCCAAGGATGATTTAATACCTGCATGTACTACTTCGATTAATTCCTCTTTTTCATAGACGATAGAGCCATGCCAAAAAGGATTTAAGTAGCTCCAGCCTCTGCATAATTTAACTGCCATTAAAAATCTAATTTCAGTTTAATTCCAAATTGGAAATGATATTTAGTTTATCAGATTGGTAAATGATAGTGTTTTTGTCCAGATTGGGACATTTCTTTGTTTCTAATGATTTTTAATGCTTAATGTATTGCAGTAGTTGTATTTTGTCTGGTAGATTTAGCTGATGAAAGACATGTTGGATCTTTAAAGAAAAGAAGTTCATTTACCTTGTAGAAAATGATATATATTGGGACAAATCTGGCTAGATTTGCTTAAGGTTCTCAGGGATATGCTTTGGTTACATGCTTTCCTTTCCTTTTAGAGGCATTGATATAGTTATCACTTTCAGTATTTAATATTCATTTTTGTGGTTGTGGGGAAGTTAGTTTTAGAAAAGAGATATTTTTAAAAAGAACCTGGACACTGCCATGTTAACTAGATTTGTATGGATTTAAGGGTTTGGATTTTTTTTTTCTTTTAAGTGGATTATTGTGGGCAAACCATTGTCACTGAACCATGCTGGTGTGAGAAGCTTGGGTCGGGCAGATGTGATTGGCAAGCATTTGATGGACTTCCCAAAAAGACACAGTTCAGTATGTGATGTGATTTTCAACTTCTTTCACAGTTGGAAAGCAATCAGATTACACATACACACACGCACACCAACTTTGCCAAATATTTCCACATTTTCTTCACAACAACCATGAACTTTTTTAAAGGAGCAACTGGAGAAGGAGACCTGATATAATAAGGAAGTGCTGCCCGCAGATATAGCTGCATTATCTCTCCTGGGACTCAAATATACTAAATGTGGTTCACAGCAGCACTATTTGTCTGTAAAATTCCTTTGTGCTGTACAGTTTTAAATATTTGTATCTCACTGTCTTTGTGTCTCCCGTGTTTTATGTAAGAAACGGAGCTTAGAAATAGTGAACAGTTCTCATTGTTGAGTGGGCAGTAGGCCCTCAAACTTTTTTCCTCATGATTGTTGAACTCTTCCTCCAACCCACCCTAAATGGTCTTAGTGTAAACAGTTTTATATTTTGTATGATTGTTTACTTTTATTTTTCTATTTTTAATTGTGTGTAAATGAACAAAATGATGAATAAATATTGGAATTAATTATATTCCATCCTTGTCACTGAGCAGTAATAACAAGTTACTGTGAAAGAAAAATAAACCTTTTAGGTGTAATCTGGCAGTTTTCGCACAGCTAAAAGAGATGTGATGTCTTGCTTTATAATGGACATGACAGAGAAGTAATAGTTTTCTTTTCATTTATGTTCACTGTTTTCTCTTTTCATTTCCTTCTTTTGCACATTATTTATTTGGTGTGTGACGTGTTTCTTACTACATTTTTCCTTAGTGCCCTCTCCTTCTTCTTCCCTGTCCCCCACCTTTCTGTCCTCTTCTGTCAACAGCTTCATCCTCTGTAGCTTTTCCTCCCACTGGTACTTCCTTTTCTTCCTGTGTGGGAAGGGAACCACCTCCTCCACCCTTCAGTCCCCAGCCTGATGATGATTGGTCTAGTACAGATTTTTCCAGAGTTGTATTGATACCACCTTTCTTAAGTGACCAGATCCAGCATGTTAACCCCCATAGCACCTTCCTCCTCTTCTGTCAAGCCACAGGTAAGTCAGGGGATCCTTTGTTCATCAGTCACTGCCTTGCTGATGGCTATAGTCTAAGGGCTCTCTGACTGTCCTCCAACTAAAAGCAGGCATTTTGTTCTGTTTTGTTTGGAGCCACTGCATGCGTGATACCCATCCTTGACAGAGTTAAAAATCCTTGGCTGCATTTGGTAGGTTGACAAAACACTATTTTTAATATTTATGTTTTAGCTTAAGAAATATGCTGTATTTCCTTTATTAAGTCATGCAAATCAAGCATTTCAAGGTATTCCTCAAGTGTGTTCAATTAAACAATTTTAATAATAAATTGTAGAGCCATAGTATATTTGAATACATTGTAAAGGGGAAAATACCTCTAAATGTGACTTGTTTTGGCTTAGTTTGACCAGAATGCTATTGGAGATTTACACCAGTGTAAGTGTAACTGCATGAACTGCAGTGCTAATTAATGAATTACTGCTCAGATTCCTGATCATGTGTCAAATCAGCATAGGTTTCGAGTAGGGTTCTGCCTTCTACATTCTACCTTTATGTCAAAAAAGTTGTTCAAGGCAGCTAACGCTCATGCAAATTCAGCTAAATGTTTTTCTTTAATAATGTTGTTGGACTAAGAGTAGTTTGGCAGTGAGTTTTGCAGAAATCAATTTATCACAGGAAAACGATACTTTTAAAAATTATTTTAGGGCATCCTTTCTCCAGCTTGGAGCCCTTCAGGTTTGCTGGGCTATAATCCTGTAGACAGTGGATGATGGCAGTTGTAATCTAACCCAGTCTAAAAGGCCCCAGGTTGAGGAAGGCAAATCTAAAGCTGCATTAGAAGTTGTTCTGCACCATGCTTTGAAGAAAAATAATTTATTGTAATTTATTGATTTAAAATATTTTATTCCTTCCTTTCTTCATAAAAAGAACCCAGGACGGCTTACATCATTAAAAAGACAATATGCAGAAGTTAAAAACTGTAGGTATACAAATATTTAAGAAGAATTAAACAAGTATTACATTAAAAACACTAATAAAATAAATGCTAAAATACATTAAAACAGAGCACAACCATTCATTTAAAACCCCCTCTCAGCCCACCAGTTATTAAGGGAAAGCTTGCTTAAACAGAAAGGATAGCAATGATCTACCTTCCTGTGGGAAGGAGTTCCAGAGTCTGGGAGCAGCAACAGAGAACGCCCGGTCACGTGTCCCCCATGATTTGGGGAACTGCAGTCCAGATGTTATGTTCGTCCCATATTTCTGTTAATTATGCTCTTCCAAAATGGCTTTCATCGTGAAGAGACACCCTCTCATTAGACTGAGAAATAAAAAAAGACAAGATATGCAGGAGGTGGAGAATGAAGAAAAGAGGTAGAGGAGAGAGATCAGTTGTTCAGTGCCAGAACATATTGGTTAATTATACGTAGGCATTTCTGCCCAGTTCAGGATGATTTTGCATTGCTCATATGGCTGTTGGTGGCTCAACCAGTGGGAATGTCCAGAGTGCCCTTTCTCCAACAGGTAATTGGAAGAAGCTAGTGCTCCTTCTGGCTGGGCTCCAAGAACAAGTGAATTCTGTGAGCTTTACTGAGGTTTCAGATAATTAATTAAGATGGCCTTGGGGTAGAAAGTTGGATCAAGTATCCTCTTTTCTTTAAAACTCTCGGCTTTTCATTTGTTTGTATGGATTTAGGTAATCTACTCTAGTAATCTATTTAAAAAGTATATTCTGTACCTTTCCACTATGTACTCTAAGAGTTGAACCTTGAATTCTTGAGTGTAAAATTTACACACACACACACACCAAATCTTGGCTCATTCTGATGGACCAAACAAATTTCCCTAATTGTATAAAACAATTAATGTCCTGTCCTAGCAGATGATGTGCATCTTCTAATTAGGGCAAAGGGCTTAGCACTGTAAATACTCTGATAAGAATTGTCTGTCTTGCTGCTTAATGTGTTACGTGATAATAGCTGAAGGGTCAGGTGCTGCCATGACTCAAGAACATTTAGTTATGCAATTGATCAGGTTACAAGAATAGTCGTCTTCAAGGTGCCAATGTTCCCATAGGGCCATGGGTTGTTTAAAACTAGCTTTTCCATTTAGAGATTCCAGTATGGAGGAATATTAAGAACTTTACTTTTGAAAAGTAATTTGTTCTTGTTACTTGTTACTAGTATTTAAGAAGTAATCTACCGTTACTCATTACAGTATAAAAGAAAGAGGACAACTCAGTGTATTGATATTTTTCATTTGTTCTAAAAATGAGATTGTTGAGATCTGAGAATGGCATAAAACACACAAAATTCTCAAAATGCCACTTATAATTTGCTTTTTAAAGTAGTCACAAGCTATTACTAGTTACATCAACAAAATGGCTTCCATCCTCCTTACTACTTCTAGAATGTTACTTAGTTACACTGTTTCTCTCCCTAGTGAGTAACTTGTTATAGGCAGGCCTATTGGATTGCTTTTGGATTTAGGTTAGCTGTATGTTGTATTCTGACTGGGTTTGATTTCTGCTAGAGGAAAAGGAAGTACTTCCCACACTTTTCCTGTTTGCGTGGCTTCCCTTTGTAGACTGCAGTCTATTGGCTCACCAACACACTGAAGTGAATGGCCTGCTGTAAAAAGTATTTCAAGTTAGTGGTACTGCAGTTACATGAAATGTGAGAGAAAATACAGCAAATGAATATTTCCACTGCCTTGCCACAGAATGTTTTAACTTTTCTTTAAAGCACAAGGTGCACGCAGCTTTGATAGTACTCTGAATCTGTGGTTCTCAAACTTTGGCCCTCTGGATGTGTGGAATGTCAGCTCCCAGAATTCCTGGCCATTTTCCACACTGGGGAAGTTAAGAGTTGAAGTCTAAAAGATTTGGGTAAACAAGGATCAAAAACCACTGGTGTAGGTCAGCCCTCTCCAGTTGGTACTTTGCAGATGTTTTCAGATACAACTGTCATCAATTGCAGCCAGTGTGGCAGAAGTCCAACATTAGAGGATACATGCAACGTTTCCATAGAGGCATAATCAAATATGAGTTAAGGGCTGGTGCCTTCTGCGTTTGAAGATTTCCTTTCATAAAACATTTTTTCCTCCACTCCCACCAAACCATCTCAGTTTTTTCAATATCCTTTTAGCAATACGACGAATTCATCACCCTCTTCTCACTTAGATCCACCTGTTTCATCATCTGACTCTCAACTAAGAATTGCAAAACACATTGCAGATCAGCATATGTATGCAGTTCTGACCTCAAGCAACATGACTTCAGACTGTACCAAGGACTTGTTAAATGATGACATCAGTGTTTCATCCCCTCAGGGCAATCTCTCTAGCTGCTCTGATCACAGATGCTGTGGGCAAGTGATAGTGCTTGTTTAGTAAGTACATCATACACATCATACTTGGGTGCACAGATACACACTCAGTGGCAGCTAGGACTATGTACATGATTTGAAAAATGTATGAAAAGGTTCTTACCTCAATAAGCTCTGTCACAATCTTTGAACAAAGTTGGAATTTGTCAACTAAATATGGGCATTTCCTTTTGCCACTTTTGTTTAATGCACTAACTCTTATTTTGTAAGTCCAGTCTGACATTAGTAAGTGCCACTGGTACTTTCAGAGTTCAAGAGTGGGATACACATTTCTTTCTACATAAATCCTTAATTACATTTATTTATTTAGATCCCATCTTTCCAACAAGTCATTTACCATGTAATTTAACGCCAGTGTAAAAAATTGGATGGAAGCATAATAAAACTTAAAAAACACATCACTTGCAGCAATCAAATAACAGAGAGCGATGTGGACATACATAGCTACTGATTCTAATTGTTCTCCTGAAGAGCACAGCTTGCTTTTGAAGGGGTCTGTTGAGCTTCCCTTTGGAGAGTATTTTTTTAGTGTCACCACTGAGAAGGTCTGGCCTCAAACCACTCACTGCATATCGTGTGATAGAATAATAAAAGAAGGATTGAGAAAGATTAAGTCGGGTGGGCAGAATGCAGCCCCGCCCCCCAGTAAAAGTGTTTGGTGTACAAAAGATGAATTGTGCCCCTTGAAGTTGGGGGTGGTCATATGAACATTTCCAGAGGCATATTCTTTCCAGTTATTTACATCTTTTTGAAGAAGTCTATTCCAGGCCTAAACTGGGCCCAGAATAGTCTTTGATTGAACAATCATGATGGTTTATTTCTATGTTTTTTTTCTGGTATGGGGCAGGTTCTACCAATATCTGGAGATAGCAAAAACATCCTCAAACTCTTCAATGTTCCCCATCTAAGTGTGGGTTCAAATACGAGAAGAGAATATTTAAGAGATATGGTGCCATTTAGAATTAGACAATGGATGTGTAGATGGGTCATTGACAGATCTTTCTGTGAAGGAACTTACGAAATGACAGCATCCTACCTGATCTTCTTAACAGAGGATTGGAAAGTAACCACTATAATACAATTTTTTAATGATTTAATGGGAATCCAGCAAATTGCAGATTCATTACTGCG